ATATTGCAATATTTGACAAAAGATTAAAACAGAATAAACTGTGACATTGTGAAGGATATACAGTCTAAAGAGAAATGTACTTGACAAGATATTGGAAATGGTTTGCAAGCAATAACAGTAAAAAAAAATAAAAAATATGCTCCATTCTATATGGGATTTATAAATTACAAACTGTTAGCTAACAGATACTGTACTTTAGAGAAAGACCAAGGCTGGATGTTGTAACAATATTTTTACTCAAACAAATATTCCAGCATTTTTTTAGTTATAATGGGCAATAACTGGTAATTTAACCACAAATCAAAATTAACATAAGGTCATGTTTTGTCTGCTTGAAATATAGATTCATTTAATATCGCATTTTGACAAATCCTGCCAATTCATTTTTAAAAAATGTCACAGCAGAGGACGTCCTGGTTTGTTTGTTAGGGAAGTGCAGTTTGTTTTTGTTTTTTGTCTTTATTTGACAGTAGCTTTTGATCTGTCTAATGGATTTTAATATCACTGTGGAATTCTGCTTAAACACTGTATGTAACGGTCCACAGATTCATGTTGTGTTCATACTCTTGTTGTTTTTTGGTGACTGTGCTGACAGTGCAGATGAATCCTCCAGAGCTTCTTGACGTCTGTGAATGAAAAAACTAATTGAAAGACTTATTTACTCAAAAACACTCAACAAACGCAACAACAAAAAAACAATGGGAATAAAAAACAAATTCTCATGGACTCCTCTGCTGAAGTTGAGCCACTCTTAAAGTTGACAGCACTGTACTCCCACCATCTTCGTCCTCCTCTCTTCATTCTTGTGTCTGTTGGGCTGAGCTGGCCTGATGTTGGAGTAGAAGGATCCTCCTGGTTTTCAGAGAAGCTACTCTGGCATAGCAAAGGTTGTTCGACTCCTCTGCTGGTTTTCTCTGTGCGCAGCTGAAGGGTTGCCCACTAAACCCATGTTTAGCTAAAAGGTAATAATCATCATAGACAAAAATACTTCAGTACTTAGCTTTGTAAGTAAGTGGGGAAGTATGTTGTGGTATTTTTGTTGGCTGCAATTCCAGTGACTTTACAAATATGTCATCAGGTGCAACTTTTTTATGTTCTCTGTTCTGGTTTGGTTCTGTTTTTTTTTCGAACCTGTCCTGTCACAGAAACAGACACCACAGAGAAAAGACAGCACCTGCAAGAACAGAGATAGGGGCTTGGGGCAGACATAAGAAAATAACTGATGGAGAATAAAAGGTGAAGGAGAAATAGTCAAGCAAAAAAATAACAACACAGCTCAGCTATGAGAAGGGAAATAATAACAATTTATTGACATGTATAAAGAATAATGCAGCACAAGTTGACACCCATGGACATCTTAAATTTCTGTGTAGGTGTGTCTTTGTGTGTATAAGTCTGCACATAGTAGCTGTTAGTGAGAGTGGGACACCACACCAGCACTGACAACAGTGGCAGACAGGCACCAACCCTAGCAGCCAGGTACCCTGTAACCCCCCGGAGCGCAAATGACCGAGACCACATGACCCGGAGACAACCGTGCACCACTTGAAGTAAGAATAGTAGAGAGCTAGAGGCCACCCCAACAAGTTTTTATAGCCAAATAGTGAACCAGAGGTTTGGGGTTACTTCTGTTTTTGTCATATTCCTACTCGGACCAGTAGATGTAATTCCCCTTTAATTTTAAAAACCTGACATGTACAGTATGTGTAGATGAGAGGTGTACTGAAAGTGCAGCTGGTTCAGCACTTTGTAATTTATAACATAATGGTGTATAAAGGAAAACAAGGGTGTCACAGACATATAGCGTCGACGAGCGATCCCTATAGCGTCATAGTTCAACACACGGGGAAGCCCTGTAGCGTCAGTTTTTGACGGTAAGCAAGGTATATGATATGTAACAGAAAAGACTGGCAAGGGAGGGGTGGTTGCGGTGGATGGAGGGCCAAAACCCTAACTTTGACCAGGAGACCAGGTTCGTCTCCTGTGTAAAACAAAAAGTCAACATTAAATGTTTTTATTTAAGTTACGTGAGTTACGTAATTTGCGCAAGTTACTTAAGTGACGTAAGTTAACTTATTTGGGTTATTTTAACCCAACCATGGTCTTTTCCTAACCTTAACCAAGTAGTGTTGTGCCTAAACCTAACCAAATTTTAATTTCATGACTTTAATAATGTGCCATTTCAATATGACTATGTTTCAAAACGCTAGGGTCTAACCAGACATTGCATATTTAGTGTTGCTAAATACAGTTGTGGCAAGTTTCTTCCAAAATGTATATATTATAGATGACTAATTACTTTCTTTTAAGAGTAGTTAGTATATTACAATATTAGTGTCTCTGAATTGTAATGCTTTGCACTACTTTTGCGTTACTTGAGTTACTTTCAATGTTATTTAATGGGCGCATTATTCTGATAGTAAGATGTGCTGCATAGGTGGGTTCTAGTGATGTGCAGAGTTATATCTGCAGATCGGGTGGGTCTTTGTCATAAAAAATAACCTTCTGATAAGGGTGGGGGTGGATGGGTGAAATAGGATGAATCATGTCCCCATTAAAAAAATGATGCTGTGTGAATGAGGTACAGCAGCATAACGTCATTATTTTAATCTCCCGACACAGGATCAGTCAGGATGAAATGACAACAGCCTCTCTGATCATGAAAGTACTTTGTTTAAGAACACATAGCCTATAGAAAAATATTTAGACATAATCCATCAGGGGAGCTACCGTCTTGTTATGAGGAGCAGAGCTCCCCCCTAGTTTCCACCCTGCGTACAATCTCAACCGTCGGACACCTCTTAATTTCGGGTTAAAATGTGGTATAACAAGTGTTACTGAGATTGTAATGGGTATAATATTACCATTTTTTGTAGTAATTGCGTTACAGCAAAAAGCAATACATTACTGTAATTATGTTACTTTGGAACACGTTACTCCCAACACTGGCTAAGCGTTTCTAACTTGACCGCGGAGCCGTAAACATCTAAAAATGACACTAAAGGGCTACCCAGGTCGTCAAAAAGCAACAACAAAGGGCCTTGACTAAGCTTCAATATGTGACGAGTCGGGAGTGAGAATGTGTTGCGAAGATGGACATGAAGCACGATTCAAATGACTTAAACTCTTCTTCCTCACCTGTGCTGCGTTGTCTGGTCTCCCTCCAGGCTCTGTGGTTTGTTTCAAGGACCTCTTTCTTCTGGAGAGGAGAATAAATGAACAAACAAAAAAATCATGGCATGAAATTACTGAACATGAATTACAGAAGGTCCATTACTGAATATATAATCACAGTAAAACTGATTTGCTCACCTAATCAATAGGAAAGCAAGGAGGAATATGAGAGCCAGAAAAATAGCAGTGATTGATCCAGCAGCTGCCGATGCCATTGAACCTGGGAAACAGTGATCAAACAAAAATACTTGCAATTAATAATGGAGATTGTTTGGGATCATAATTGGAAATAAAATTGTAGATCTTCAGACAAAAGCATTTGTTACATGCCAAGAAGGCCTGGTTAGTTTTTGTTTTTCCTCCTGCTTTTTGCCTGCCCCTGTGTTCTCTTCAGGTGCTAAGCGGGTGATTGACTCGCGCGTGTGCAGCCTGGCCGAGCTGTACATTGGCCAACTGAAGATGAAGCTGGCCAATCAGCATGCGGAGGGAGAAATAAAAGCAGCACCCCAGATGAGTTTGCTCTCTCACCATTGCAATTGCTTCCACTGTTAGCAGCAGCAGCGGCGGCAGCAGCGTGATTGTTTGACCCTTTTCTTTTGGGAATAAACTTTGATTTGCTGAGTTCAAATATCTGTGACTCCTTTACGTTGCCTCCCTGAAGCCCAGGTCCTAACACATTCTAAAGCTCATTAGGGTCTGATAGATTAATGACTAACTTTGTCTTTTGGCTATATGTCTTTGACTCTTGAGCATAGCTGTCATACCTGGTGGAAGGGAGATCACCTGATGAGAGAAGCTACAGGACAGACCTTGTAAAGAAAATGACGTGGAATTGAGTGGGTGTGTATGCAGGTTAATTAACATCATTTACCTGACACAACAGTCAGATGTAAGGTGGAGTTATGACGTCCTCTTCTGTTCTGGGCTTCACAGTGATAATTCCCACTGTGTTCAGCTCTGATGTCAGTGATGGTGAAGTTCTGTTCTGATGCTTGTGGTGAGTCTTCATTCTCCTTGTACCAGGTATAATTAGCTGCTGGGTTAGCATCACTGCTGCAGGTCAGAGTCACTGAACTGCCCTCCACTATCTCAGCAGAGGGACTCACTGACACAGAGAGAAGCTTTGGAGCATCTGAGGGACAAAAAAAGAGAGTGCTGCATGTTAACAACATAGTGTGGGATAAACAGAGAAGTGACTAACTTGTATCTATGGCATTTAGTGACAATTCCGTATTGACATGTTTAACTATATCCCAAAATCAATGATTAAAGTTGTGCTTTTGAACATTAATCAGTGGGGCCTGGTCGGCCATGCAGAAACACAATTTTCAGCAGTGTCTTTTCATTGGATGTTTACTTTATACAATAAAGTATAAACAACAATACCTACAAAACAAATTTTTTTTGCATATCTGGTATTGAAGCAATCCAAAAGTAAGTAAATGTAATGAACTTGAAATACTTGGATTATGTTATGGATTACATTTTTTAACATGTAATTAGTATTTGTCCTGGATTGCATTTTTAAAGTAATCCTCCCAACCCAATTTGTTACTGTGATGTAAAGACAGTGTCCAGTTAAAACTTTATATGAAGATAAATTTGTTACAAATTAATAACTTCCCTCTCTGAAACTCTTGCTCCAGTCTAGGTTGCTAAACTGGTTTGGGAACATTTACAGCTTAACCAAAGCTGTGGTTATAGGCTTTTCAGGACCCGCCTTCCTCTGCTTTTGATTGGTTAGTAGACTTTGATTAGCTACTGCGCATATGCAACTCCATAGCTTAGACATGTCATAGGCGTTCAATGACCACTTTAAAGGAAAATCCTAAATCCTTTAAACTCCTTATGGAACACAATACCCTTTCTACCATCCTAAACCCATCAGACCTTTACATCCACTATCTATAATAAACACATTATATGTCAAAGTGATTAGCTGATGTTTTGTACTTACACTGGACATCTATGGATACAGATGTGGAGTTGATCTGGCCATACTTATTCTCAGACTTGCAGTGGTAGATCCCGCTGTCCTTAGAGCTGATAGAGGTGAAATGATAAATGTCCTCTGGTCCCTGAATCAGTGTTTGGTTCTCCTTGTACCAGGTGTATTTAGCTGCTGGGTTAGCATCACTGCTGCAGGTCAGAGTCACTGAACTGCCCTCCACTATCTCAGCAGAGGGACTCACTGACACAGAGGGAAGCTTTGGAGGATCTTTAGACAAAAGAGAGACAACTTGTCAATAATTGTTCACAGGCCTGTTTTTAGGCAGTGACTGCCACAAGCTAGGAGGAGCAATTCAGTAGTTTTAATTCATTATTATGATACATCATTGGTCACTTTGTTTTCCACCTGCTTTACTATGTGTTCACATAAACGCAAAACAGATTGGGGCACGCAAAACAGATTGGAAAGATTGACGTACTGCTGACGTATTGCGGTAAGCGTGTCGACTCATTTCCGTTTCCGGTGCTTGTGTGTTGGTACCGCGTTGTGCTGCTCTCGCTAAATAACAGTTACATTTGTTTGATTACAGCGGCCAACTGTTCGCTAAACACTTATTCTTTACAGTAATTTTGCCTAAGCACTCACAGTTCTTTCCATCTTTTAGTGACTGCTGTTCAATCTCATAGTTGTTCTAAAGTTTTGGTAACTGACGCTACAGTAATTTAGCTTAGCCGTTAGTGACTTTAGCTTAGCAGCTAGCGATGGCTTCTCCTTCTCCCTCTCTCTCTCCTACTTTCTCCTGCTCGGTGTGTCAGATGTTTAGTTACTCCTCTGCCTCCTTTAGCGGTAATGGTACATGTAATAAGTGTAGTTTATTTATAGACATGGAGGCGAGGCTCAGTGATTTAGAAGTCCGGCTCCGCACCTTGGTAGATCAGTCTTTAGCTACTGTAGCTAGCCAGTCCCCGGTAGTCGGTGCGGAACGGCCTGAGTTAGCCTCTGGTAGCCGTCCTCCGGCATCCCCTGTGCAGCCAGGAAAAGGGGGGGGCTGGGTGACTGTCCGAAGGAGGAATAGTTGTAAGCATTCAAAGTCCACAGGGCATCATCAACCTGTTCACGTTTCTAACAGATTTTCCCCACTCAGCGACACACCCGCTGAGAAACCAACTCTGATCATTGGCAGCTCCATTTTGAGAAACGTGAAGTTAGCGAAGCCAGCGGCCATAGTTAAGTGCATCCCTGGGGCCAGAGCGGGCGACATTGAGTCTTATTTGAAACTGCTGGCTAAGGATAAACGTAAATACAGTAAGATTGTTATTCACGTCGGCGGTAATGACTCCCGGTTACGCCAATCGGAGGTCACTAATATTAATGTTGAGTCGGTGTGTACATATGCAAAAACAATGTCGGACACCGTAGTTTTCTCTGGACCCCTGCCAAATCTGACCAGTGATGACATGTATAGCCGCATGTCGTCATTCCGCCGCTGGTTGTCGAGGTGGTGTCCAGCAAACGATGTGGGCTTTGTTGATCATTGGCAGACTTTCTGGGGAAGACCTGGTCTGATCCCACTTGGGAAGGAGCAGCTCTCATTTCTAGAAATCTGGCCAAGTTTATTAGTGGACCAAATCCATGACAACCCATAATTGAGACCAGGTGGCAGAGTCGCAGTCTAACACACTTCTCTGCCCTTCTTTTTCAGCAGTTACCCACCCAAAACCCTACGCAGAGTCGCAGTCTAACACACTTCTCTGCTCCTCCATTTCAGGAGTTACTTAGTGAAAATCCTATAGTGACAGTGTCTGCCCCCCGACCATCGAAATTATTTAAAAAGGTAAACAGAAGAGGAGCTGTGCATAAAAACCTCATAAAAATTAAAACCACAAGAGCAATAGTGCAAACGAATAGGAGAGTTAAATGTGGACTCTTAAACATCAGATCTCTCTCTTCTAAAGCTGTACTAGTAAATGAACTAATATCAATTCAATTCAATTCAATTCAATTTTATTTATATAGCGCCAAATCACAACAACAGTTATCTCACAGCGCTTTTCATAAAAGAGCAGGTCTAGACCGTACTCTGTGATGATATTTACAGAAGCCCAACAGTTCCCACCAAGAGCAAGCACTAGGCGACAGAGGCAAGGAAAAACTTCCTTTTAAGAGGCAGAAACCTCGAGCAGAACCATGGCTCAGGGTGGGCGGCCATCTGCCTCGACCGGTTGGGGTGAGAGAGAGAGAGAGAGAGAGAGAGAGAGAAGAGAGTGAAAGAGAGAGAGAGAGAGAGAGAGAAGAGAGAGAGAGAGAGAGAGAGGGATGTAAGGAGAGAGAGGGAGGGAGGCAGCCTACACAATATACACACAGAGGTACAGACAGCGAAGGTAATGTTGCTATAAACTAAATGAAAAATGGTACAGATATTTATAATAGTGTTAATGGTAACCATCGTAATGTTAATGATTATAATAACAATAAGACTAGCAACAATAGTCGTTGCAGTAGAGGGTGTCGAGCAGGAACACGGGGGCAGCAGGCGACCCGCAGCCACAGATCCAGACTCCACAGCTCCAGAGCCAGAAAACCTGCAGGAAGTGATAGGAGGAGAGAGGAGAGGGACGAGAAAGCACAAGACTACCAGAAAGGGGAGAAGTTGTGTTAGTAACATGCAATAATGGGATAAGGTTGCATACAGAGGGAGAGAAAGTAGAGGAGAGAGGAGCTCAGTGCATCATGGGAAATCCCCCGGCAGTCTAGGCCTATAGCAGCATAACTAAGGGATGGTTCAGGACTACCTGAGCCAGCCCTAACTATAAGCTTTATCAAAGAGGAAAGTCTTAAGCCTACTCTTAAATGTGGAGATGGTGTCTGCCTCCTGAACCCAAACTGGAACCTGGTTCCACAGGAGAGGAGCTTGATAGCTGAACGCTCTGGCTCCTAGTCTACTTTTGGAGACTCTAGGAACCACAAGTAACCCTGCATTCTGGGAGCGCAGTGCTCTGGTGGGGTAGTAAGGTACTATGAGCTCTTTAAGATAAGATGGTGCCTGACCATTAAGAGCTTTGTAGGTAAGAAGAATGATTTTAAATTCTATTCTGGATTTTACTGGAAGCCAATGCAAAGAAGCTAAAACAGGAGAAATGTGATCTCTTTTCCTGGTTCCTGTCAGAACACGTGCTGCAGCATTCTGGATCAGCTGAAGAGTCTTAATGGACTTTTTCGAGCAGCCTGATAATAAGGAATTGCAGTAATCCAGCCTAGAAGTAACAAATGCATGGACTAGTTTTTCTGCATCATTTTTAGACAGGATGTTCCTGATTTTCGCAATATTACGTAGGTGAAAAAAGGCGGTCCTTGAAATTTGCTTAATGTGGGACTTAAACGACATGTCCTGATCAAAGATAACTCCAAGATTCCTCACAGTGGTGCTGGAGGCCAAGGCGATGCCATCCAGGGAAACTATATCTTTAGATAATGCGTCACGGAGGTGCTTAGGCCCCAGAACAATAACTTCAGTTTTATCTGAGTTTAACATAAGAAAATTACAGCTCATCCAGGTTTTAACATCCTGAAGGCACATTTGAAGTTTAGCTAACTGATGAGTTTCATCTGGCTTGATCGATAGATATAACTGAGTATCATCTGCATAACAATGAAAGCTTATGGAATGTTTCCTGATAATATTGCCTAAAGGAAGCATATATAAAGTGAAGAGGATTGGTCCAAGGACAGATCCTTGAGGAACTCCATGAGTAACTTTGGCGTGCATGGAGGACTCATCGTTAACATGTACAAACTGAAATCGATCTGATAAATAGGACTTAAACCAGCTTAGAGCGGTTCCTTTAATGCCAATGAAATATTCCAGTCTCTGCAATAGGATCTGATGGTCAATGGTATCAAATGCAGCACTAAGATCTAATAAAACCAGTACAGAGACAAGTCCTTTGTCTGATGCAATAAGGAGGTCATTAGTAATTTTCA